GGGGGTTGGGGGGGGGGGGGGGGGGAAATAACCAGTTTTATCACGTCTGATGATAACTTAGTGTTTTCAAACATGGCTTGATACTTTGCTCTTGTCTTTATCTGTATAAAGAATGACTGTGACTCTGAGCTGTCCATATTTCGTGTTGTCCCAGGTTTTAGTTGATGCTCCTTGTTCTAATGACAGGAGCTGGCTGCATTCTAGCGACATACACCGGGGGCAACAGAGACTAGAAGACAGAGCCGGGCTGCCAGAGCTACAGACTCAGCTTCTAAGGTGAACCCAATAACACCAGACATAGAAAACACCTGCGAGGTGTACTGCTCCTTCAGAGCAGCTGAAACATAACAGTTTTGTACTGTGTAAGATCGATAAAGTGTGATAAAAAAGAAATGAAACGCTGTTTGTCTGCCTCTTCTAGGTCCGCTATATCTGCAGTGCGTCCGGGGGGTGTTGTCGTCTACTCAACCTGCACACTGTCGAGCTTGGAGAACGGTGCTGTCGTTGAGGCGGTGCTGAAAGACTTCCCTGATGCTGAAGTTGAAAGTCTGTGGGGAGAGATCGCTCTGCCTCTGTCAGAATACTTTGCCGTTATTTCACCCCCTGGTCAGAAACAGGCAGAGCCCGAGCCGTCCCCGCATCCGCCGATTGGCTCGGCGTCCGCGTCTCATCATCAGCTCGGCATTCTGGTGGTTCCCCAGCCCGGCAAGACCTGGGGGCCAATGTTTTTGTCTCGAATTAGAAAAAAAAAAGGGATAGAGTCTGACCTCCAGAACAGAGACGATAGGTGAAATGCTACTTCTCCGAGTCCTGTATCAGTTCCAGAACGTCTTTTAGCACAAACTACGCAAAGAAGTTTAGACATTCCGACGTAAGCACATCAGAGCGTAAAGGTTACATAAAGTTTTTAAGGTAAGGAACACTTTAGGTGCAGTCGGATGTTCATCTGTCTAAGAGCGCTGTGTGAGATTTTACATTTAAGCAGCAAATAAAAAGCAAACATGGCTCTGATCTCTCATTCTTCAGAGATCATCATCAGAGACAGATGTATGTTTGCTGAATGCTAATAATCAACGTTTAAAATCGAGATGCAGCAAATGGTCGTGTGACGGTAACAGAGCTGCTTTTACCCATAAACCAGCAGGAAATTCTAATTAAGGCTATTAGGATTGTTTTAGTTGTTAAAGCTCAACTGTTTGCCATCCAGTCTGAAATTGGACCAGACTGTTTTTGTTTGGATCAAAATGATTTATGTGAAGCATTTGTTATCCACAGAAGCTGGAAAAGACCTCAAAAATGTTGGATTATTTACATCCAACAAAGATCTACCACTCTTTGTCGGTTGTTTTACTCTGTAAAAAGAAAGAAAAATGCAAACTGTATTGTTTTACAGGCAAAACATTGTGGTTTTGTCAAAATTCTTGACAAAAAAGTGGTAGACAGTTACAAGTAAGCCGCCTTCACACATGTGTATATAGTTAGTATTTTGTTGCCCCTTTTAAAGTAGATCGTTTTTTTTTTTTTTTTTTGGAGTCTTGAATTGTGTACACAAACAGAAAACTTTTTCTTTAATAACAGTTGAGACATGAGTTTTCCAGGAAGGAGTCTTGCTGTGCATCATTTTCTTTTTCCGTTTATGCCATAAAAAACCATGGTAGTAAAATGTGATGAACATTTTTTGCTTGAACCTTCTCCAAATTTCAGACACAGCTGAATGTGAAGGAACAAGACATACTAGCCCCATCCTGTGATGATTTATCTTCATGAAGGGGCTTTATACTCGTTTCCTTTACTTTCTGGTCTTCAGGCGCTCGCTTTTTTCCTGCAATATAAATCTTCTATGTGAAAAAAAGTTCCATTAGTTACAACAATGTAACGTTAATGTTTATTCATAGAGTCGCTGCAAAACCACCGACTGGCATCGTCCCTCAGGAGTCATTCCACATAGAGGAAACCTAAATATCACCTCAGCATTTCTATATATTGTGACCTACGGAACATCTTTAGGAGGCAACAAGCTATTTTTATTGTAAAAACTGAAAAGTGGCATAAAGACTGTCTCGCGAAGGCGCAGGTTTAATAAGATAAATCAGTATAAATAGAAACGTCACAAAGATTATCTGCTCCTTTTTTCCTGCTCTTGTCTGAATGAACACAGGTTTTAATTTTCCCTGTCGGTAATCTTACATCTATCAGGCCTGTTATTACACTGTACCTCCTCTCAGTGCAGCGGAGAGACGATCGTATCATCTCTTGTGGGTTATTATGTTGAAGGACTGCACTTGAGTCATGCTTGAGCAAAAAGTAGACACAGTTTCATCGCGGCGTTGCAGCTTTTCATTAGACTGTAATTGCTCAGGTCTGAGGCAAAGGTGCATTTCAGGTAAATGCACGTAGTTCACATCCTGAGCGTTTCAGGACTGAGAAAGTATGCTGTCGCGGAGGTAGCGTTGTGTGGAAACTCTGTGCACTCGGATATAAAGGGCTGGTGTTTGAGAGCAAATCCCCGTGAGACACAGTCGTAGAGATGATTGCTGAAATAAGAAAGCTGCGAGAGCTTCATAACAGCCTCATCCACCGCTTCCTTTTGGTCATATAGACACAAGCAATATTTGCTGCACTTATATGGCTATTTTTGTGGACTGCCCCAGTTTTTCTTTACTTTTCCATTTTTTTTATTTTTTTTCATTGAAAAGCGACTCCCTGTCTGAAACGGGAGCGCCATCGTGCCACGAAAACGGCAACACCGATTCAAATCGGCCGAGATGTGGGGATCATGCGAAGCTTCATTGGGGTTAACTATGTTGCTGACCTTTGAGTGAACCCTGGTTTGTTGATGGTGCCCATATTGCTGCGTTTCCTCAAGGGGAGAATCTCTAAGCAGCTTTTCCTCCACTTCAAAGGCAGCGAATGTAGGCCTGCTTTGCATAATCAGGTGGAGAGCTGCTTTTTGCCAGAGAGGCAGGAATTAATTTGTGGCACCACCAGATGTAATCATTAAAACCTTAGTCATTGACAATAAAGGGAGAAGAAGAGGGAAAATTAGAAAAGGAATTGTAGAACAGTAAATGGAGTTAGAAAGCAATGCGGAGTGCAGGATGGTGCCGAATGCCACAGGAAAGCATAGCAAAGCGGAATAATCTGAGCTCAGCTAGGAGTTTTTTTTTTTTTTTTTTTTTTTTTTCCTTTTTGGAAACTTTTCTTTTTTGGCATGCCTGGATTGAGTTTAATCC